ACAACCTGAATTTTTATAATCTCTTATCATGTATCAATGTTTCAGTGCTTCATAAGTAATTACTCTCAAGTGAGTTGACCAGGACTTGTAGACAAATTTACCACCACTGATGGACCATTCTTATATCTGTACAGATAACACCTAGTGGTCATACTAACAACTATTTTCTTATCCATTTCATATAATCACAGTTTTCAGGCTTTCAAGTGTAAATTTGATATTTTCTGTTGAACACTCGTAATAGATAAGATTTCTTCATGTGCACTGCCAAAGCCTTTACACATTCCTCCAATTCAGCAGTACCATTGATTGATCTTTTCTTCGAAAGAAATGTATTTATCAAAATAGCAAATCCAAGAGTAATCCCCACCTGGTAAATAAATGAAGGATGCAATTTTCTTTTTAAAGGATGATATACATAGAACAATATTGCAATGTTCAATCCCTCCACACTGCTAACAATTCAGGACATGTATGGCAGAACCTGAAGCAGAGCCACGTGTAGGGATTAGCTCATTACCTCAGTATATTTCATGTCTTTTAATAAACAGGTTTGCTTTGTAACCTTGTTTATCCATCTGGAATTTAATGATGTTTTTCCTCAATACATTAAAATACATTACAGCAAGTTTCTTCTCTGCATTGGATAGTCATTTTCAAAATCCCTCATTGTGTTTGGGTAGTGTGTCCGTAAATACCGTGTCCTTTAATATTAATTATTTTAAAGACTTGTCTTCATCACACTTTTGCTGACTATGATAAGTGACTTCCTCTCATCATCAGCAATGGTTACATTCAAAAATGCAGTGGAAATGACATGGGCAGATCCATAGACACAGATTGGTAAGATAAAAATGTGCATTCAAATCTGGAATATGAGGAGAAAGTGCCAGAGAATGTAGGCAAGGTGGCTGAAGGCACATTCACTAATACTAGGATAGAGGGGTCCCTGCCAGGTGATGTGAAGCAGACTGTGAGTTCTCAGCAGCATTGAATTACAAATCCTAGGTTTGACAAAAGGCCACAGAAAGCTATGTAATGCACTGAACACTTCAGTGAAATTTGAAGTAACAGTACCTATGATCTTAGTGCAATAAATTATTACGATACAATATAGCCTTTTCATGCTCGTTTCCGGTCATAGTTAAAATTTTGACTGATAATTATCACCGGAAATATTACATCACCAAAAATTGTGTTTTAAACAAGGCGATAATCATTGATGGTCACTGTTGCCCATTCCTCCATTGACTTTGACAGAATAATTTAGACTGACCCCTCTGATTACCATCATTCTCGTTGCTACTTCGACACCAGTAAAAGCCCCTTGAGAGTTTAAAGTATATGTTCTCCAGGAAGAACTCCATAGTGTGTTATTCCAATCCACAACAACTCGACTCTGACCCCAAATGGCCTTGAACTCACAGATCGGCATGATGTGCTCAGGGCTCTCTGCCTTGTGGAGTCCTGTAGCTTTGTGGTTAGAGGACTCGCCTAGCAAGTGAGAGAATTCCCAGCAAGACAAAACGTTGGGTAAGTTTCCTTACTCCACAATCTCAGTTTACCTAGTCATAAGTAGGAAGCTGGTTGTTAGTCGATTGGAGGATCACTTTTTCAGAGGTAATAATTCCTTCAAAATAAAAAATTAAATAATTTGGTTACTCGATCCACGACTGTTTGTGAGACACTCTGCTGTGCGCAATTGGCTGCCGTGTTTCGCCCACAAAATATACAGTCAATTCACTTTACAGTATATTAAAGTTTGGGGCATCTCGAAGACATGATAAGGCGCTATATCAAATGCAAGGATTATTATTATTATTGTTATTGTTGTTATTATTATTATTATCCATCCCAATGCACTTTTTTTTAGCATTGAGGCATCCCTTATGCTGTCATTTTCCCAGTAATACTTACTTTTTCAATCCCAATTTCAGACCAAGAGATCTCATCTTATGTCACTGGTCATTGTAATATAGTATATTGTTACACTCATGAACTGACTTTGGATTTTGGATTAACTGATTATTTACAGATGTAGAATCATGGGCCTGTTTGATGCAGTTGTGGATGGAAGAGGAAATCAGGAGTTGATTAAAAGACCAAGTTAATAGCCGAATGATTCAGTTTGTTCAGTGATCCATAACCTTGCTTATAATTAGTACAATTGAACTGCATGATCATTGATAAATGCCTCCCAATATGCAATGATGCTTAGGGAATTGAATTACATGCAGATGTCCTGTAAAGGTCAGACTGTAATTTTGACAATCCAGCTTTATTGATCTCCTATGTAAAATGTTCTTAGTATTACTAACTTCCTAAAACATCAAAGATCTGAAGACTCCCATTAAATACAGGGTGGCCCATTTAGAATAATACCCGATTTGGTGCAGGTTCACATATTGTTCAGATCGCCTGTGGAACAATCTTATACAGTTGCCGTGGCCAGCATTGCCTGCATGTTGCACACATGTGTACTATTCGCAGGAGGCATCGCTGAGGTCACTTTTTTGTACACTTCATGAAAAACCGTTTTACATACAAGGGCTTAAGGTTCACTCAATCGACAGGACTCTTGAGTGTCGGTTCAAGCCTCAAATTGGAACTTGAGGGTGATGTTTCATTGCAACAAGAACAACAACAAAAACAACAACAAAATTGCATTTGTATAGCATGCATTGTCAGAAAGTGCTATTTTTTTTCAATGAGATGTTAAACTATGGTCCCATCTTCCTCTTCAGATTAATGTTAATTATCCTATAGTATATTTTACACCATTGACTTCTGCGTTTGCTACAAAAACAGTCAATTCATTAACCCGTCAAGCCTCTTGAGTTGTTTTGATGTAATCAAGCTTTATAAAAATCTAATTTTCTTCTTTCTTTCAAAACTATCACTTACTTGTACACGAGTTAAAGTTAGCTAAAAAGAAATATTCAGAGCTTGGTAATTTAAATATGGCTAAAAGATTAAGGCTTTTTGAAAGTCTTATGCATTATTCTGCAATAATGCACTCCTTTGCTTTGCCTAAAAAATATAGTCACTACACTTTATAGTAAAATCCTGTGAAGCGCTTTGAGACCTCCTCCCGACGTGAAAAGCACTGTATCAAATGCAAGGATTATGAAGGATTATTATTTATCTAATGAGTCTTTAATAATCCTTGCATTTGATACAGTGCCATTTACGTCAGGAGAACATCGCAAAGTGTTCCACAAGATTTATTTTTGGTCAGGTGTGTGTCTGACATATGCAGATACCCATCGCCATACACTTAAGGATGGTGATGAATTTCTGCATGTGTCAGACACCTGGCTGACCAAAAGAAAATTAACAGTCCCACAGTAATTATAAAGAAGCATGCCACATTTACCATGGAATGAATCATTGGCCAATTGTGTCACATATGTTTTGCCTTCTAATTCAATTTTCTTTCTCTGACATAAGCCCAAAGGGGATAATACTTGCCTTCTGGCCGAATCATTTCTTTGACAGACAACATGACTTGTTGAATCTTGAAACATCTTAGCTTTTTATCTTCTTTAATTTCAAGTTGTGTCACATTTATAGTTTGGAACAGCCTCTTCTGTTTCATTATGTCTTGTGCAATGTGTTTCTTTTAAGCATACATTTTATTGAAAGTTATGGTTATCACATAAGAGAGATCAGTGCCACTGAGTAGAATGCTAGCTCGGTTTCAGGATTTACCATTCACTAAATTAGGTGCAGTTAAGAAACTTTGATTATAATTCACTAATATGCTGTTGCTTTAACCTTAGAAGAATAGCTCAGTGCGTATTTTTCCCTTTGTGAGCCATCCTTGTATCTGACTTAGTCTGCTGGCTTCAAGATAAATAAGAATCTACAGGGTGACCAAAAAGTTGTGATTACAATGTCTAATAAGTCTTAAAGAAATGATTTTTTTTGGATAATAGGATAGCTGAAAATTAAAACTTTTTGGTCACCCTGTATAGCCTGGATTAACATAACTTAAGTTCATTTCATGTGGGAACAATATACATAGTTGAAAGTTTGGGATTTCATGGCCTTAGATTTGAGCACAGTTTCATGAAGTGCAAAGACAGTGCTCTTCACTCCTTTTCGACCTCGCCTTCGGTCACCTTCGTATACCTACCCTCCCTGCCCTCCACCCCACCTGTACCCAGCTCCCCTGCTCAGATCCAAATCCCTGACTATCCATTGTCTTGGGACATCCCAAGGCAATTCCAGGCAGGGCGAAACCTTGGGCAAGTTTCCTTACTCCACACGCCTAATAATAATCCCTCCAAAACCAAAAACAATAATAAATTGGTCATTTTCAATCTACGACTGTTTGTGAGACATTGCTGTGCGCAATTGGCTGCCGCGTTCGCCCACAAATATACAGTCAATTCACTTTACAGTGTGTTCTGTGAAGCGCTTTGGGACGTCCTCCCGACGTGAAAAGCGCTATATCAAATGCAAGGATTATTATTATTATTATTATCCTCCTGATGTGAAAGACACTATACAAATGTAATTTGTTGTTGTTGACAGTGGGGAGGTACAGCGCCACCTGTGCTGTTAATGGTGGGCAGAAGGGTGAAGGTACAGTGGCTGAAGGCTCGGCCACCAATGGTGGGTGGAAGGGGTGGGGGGACATGCAGTTGAATGTTTGCCCGGCAAAAGGGGCAAGAAGAAGAGTGAGGCTGGAAAAGAACAGATGTGAGGGTGTAAAGGGGATCTAAAAGTTTATCCACAAGGGAGCCAGTGGAGCTTTAAGCTACAGCTTTAACTTACTGATTGTAGCATGCAAACTGAAAAACCCTGTTTGGAAAATATATTTAAAGAGAAAAGTGAGATTCATGGGCAAAGGAGTCAAGGCCTGAATTGGAATATAGGATGCCATCATCTGTGCATGGAAAGTGGGTCAAAAATTAAAGTTGATCCTCATTCTCACAATGTGATTTTCAAACATTCTACCTCATGAGCATCTCTTTATTTTGCTGTTATTGCAGGCGGACCAAATTTCATTTGCTGGAGGAAACTGAAACCCTTTCACCACAACCTGCACATTGCTGGTGATTCAGTAGTTGAGGCGTCTTCTTCTGAAGTCTCATAAAAAGGGTAATCATTTGTGCTTTCTTACTCTCGAGAGAATAAAAAGTAAATGTGAATTTAAATATTAAGAAAATATTGATCTTCTTACGAATGTTAAAACAGATTGTTTTGACACCTTGCAGTTTCCTTCAAGTCCTTGGGATATTTTCTGCTGCAGTGTTTCACACAGTGGTGATGTAAATTGTTGTGTCATGGCTGATCATACTAAGCGGAAAGTCAGTTCCTTTGATCTGAAAACAATTGGGAACCCTTTGTGTTACTGCTAAGTGTCTGGTTATATATTATATATATAATATATTAATGCTTACATTTGATACAGCACCTGAACACTTCTTCGAGAGTAAAGTCCTTACAATGAAGGCTAAAGACTTTCCTGTGGTCTAGATTTAATAGCTAGGGGTATAAAAGTTGGCTTTCTTGCGATTAACCTTCCCAATAGTGCCCTACTTTATTCTAATTGAAGTCACAACTATTATGCTGCTACAGTACAGATATTCCTCTGAGGTTAAGGCTGTGGTGCATTTTCTTTGGTCAGTCAGGTGTCTGACACACAGAACTCATCCATGTGCTTATTCAGTATTCAGACGAGACCGAGGTCTGCATAGGCATGCCACCTAAGCATGGAAATGTCGCTTTATCTGTAATGAAACGAGCCTTCTCCCTGAAGGGATGAACCTAATTCTGGAAAGTATTAGGCACAGGTTAGCAAGAATCAAGCTTTGAGGGCCCAGGGTGTGCATTGGGGTGCTGCTGGAGTTTAACCAGTCATTGAGAGCTGTCTGGCAAGCTTTCCGTTGCTTGTCCACAGTGCTGAGGGTCAGGTTAGTGAAGGTTAGAGCATTCTCTCGTGAAGCCACTTTCCCTTTTTCCCCAACAAATCGATCTCACTCCTAGATTTTGTGAAACCTTCAGGAGCTCAGAACCATTAAGGAAAACTGTTTGGAGACACATCTTATATGCCCTAAACGTTAATCTGTTTTGTCATTTTGAGACAAGAATGACAAGAGTACCCCTCACCCCATCTTAGGTGCAGTCCCAAAGGACTCACTGTTATGCCCCACTGAGTATCCCAGCATTCAAGATGGTGAGTGAGGTCAGTGCATGAGATTCCCAGGTGAGTCCAGCAACAGCATAACATGATCGGCAAACAGAGCCACCACAATTCTAACAGAAATGTCTGGAACAGGTAAACCATCCATTCCTCTTGATGCCATCCAATAAATCATTTGTGATTAAAGACATCGAATCTGGTGGGTGACAGTACACAACCTCGACTTACCCACTTTTCAAGAGGGTGAGTCATCGAGTCCACGCTGTCAGTTGTTACATAAACCAGGCTCATCCTTTATCCTTTACATGGCAGAGTAGTTCAGCACAGTCAGTGATAGTGCAAAGGACATCAGCCGCTGTGACCTCTCAGTCACTCTTTCCCCCACAGGATCAGTACCTTGCCCAAGACATTAAATGTTGTCTTGACAGAAGACAACTGGCCAATAGTCTGAAGTTGCTCAGCAACACCAGACAACACAGAGAGCTGAGGACTTAGCAAGTCATTCAAATCACAAAATGTCTTGTCAGGGAACAGAAGCATGAGCTTTACTCTGCATTTACACATGTTGACCATTATTTGGACGTACTTAGTAGTGACTCTGAGAGTTTCAAAGGACACTGATATTCCTCACCTTGATGAGCACAGAATTACACAAAAACTTTTTTTGAAAAAAAGTCCATCTTACAACTTTAACCATACTGTTTTGAACATCTCCTGTTTTGCCATGAAATTTTGCAAGATTGAGCATAGGCAAAATAATTGCTGAAAATTACTTTATGTACAAAATGTACTGCAGAACCTTTGAAGTGCATTACCATTCTTATCAAAGAATTACTTTGTTCAAGACTTCAAAATGGTGAAATAATTTGTTTTCTATGCTTCCTGTCCCTAATAGCTGGTCACCCTAAAATGATTTTCTTGTGTCATGGTGCAGTGTTTGTAATAATGCTGAGAAAAGTATATTTTGGGGTTTTTTTCTCCCAGTCAATTTCTGTGCAGGATAAGACCACAAGATATTCGGGTCAAAGCAGCTCTTCCGTCTATTTGATCTCATCCTTTCAGAAATCTCAACCTGTCATCCTACCCCAACAACATCAGGCTATTTCTTGAATGAAGCCAGCATACTGGCTCATCTATCCTTCCTGGTAGCATTGATTACCCTCTGGGTAAAAAATACTTCCTGGTGTCTGTCCTGAAAATGCCCTTTGCAACTCTAAACATGTGTCCTTTTGCTCATCTGCCTGTGTGTATCTGAAGCAGTCCTGGAGGTCAGTGTTCATGGTCAGTATCTGTATCCTCTCTTACAAACTCTCTCACTCACAATTTCTCCAGCCTACTCCGCTACCCAATACTCATGCCTTTACAAATCTCCAAAGCCATCATACTCAACAGCTTTCTCTGCACAGAGCTGTGACACAGCCATGCAGCTTAGGCATCAGCTATCCCTTCTACCCTGTCCCCTCCTTCTCGAGTCCCAGTGATACAAGGGAGTTTCCTCACTATGTGTCTTTGAATTCCCCAGGCTGTTCCACTTATCAATCCTCCCAATGGGGAGAAAACCAATAGCCATTGGGAGGAGGAGCGTTCCTCCCAAATTCATTAGCCAGTTTGCACATTAGTTCCTACCTGGCTTCTGATAACACATCGCCCACCCTTCAAAAATCTCAGTCGGAAGAGCCTCTGAGGCATTCGTTTTCCCATTGACACGATCTCCACAGGCATAAATACAATGGCTATCCATTTCAGGCCTTGATTTTCCAATTATAGTGACTTGCGATAGTTGACTCCACAGCTAAACCTGGTTTAATAAACTTTGGTGTTGCATCTTATACCTTTGGTTTGCTGATATAGCTTTAGACCTAAGTAATTCCGAAACCTTGAAGCAGGAATATCCCAGTTTTCTGGATTCTCTTGCAGGTTTCTCTCTCAATGTAATCCACCTTCAGTCATGCCACTTGGCTCTAAGATGATGTAAAGTACTTGTAAGCCTTTGGAACGTATCATGGAGACTTTGGAAAATGCTGAGTATGCATGAATAAAGGCATTTAAATAATGGATTTATTTTCCAGTTTAATGAAGGGCAATGTATCAATTTTGCTTTGCAAGTCTCTGATTCTCCAGTTGGTTAGACAAGTGTCCAGCTGCTGTGTAACTCTTTCAGTCCCTTAGCATCTTTTATGAACTACAGAAAATTGACTTCAAAGTTAAGACTGAATTCAACAATTTGCCAAATTCTGGATACTTTAAAATGCTATATAAATAGAGTAAATCTAGACCCAGGTGGAATTTATCCCCACAAGTGTCTAACATTACATTTTGGTGGGTGGGAAAGAAATTCCCTCTGAGTCTAAGTTTATAATAGTTTCTTAGCATTTTAGAAAGTGTAAAGTGTAACAAGTTTTTAAATCTTGAATTTTAGCTATTTTTCTGTAATTCTTCCAAGTACGCACAGAAAAACAGCTTCACTAACATTTTGGGTGCTTACTCTGGAAGGGCAGAATTGTAGAGTCATATGTTCCAAATTGGCAGCAACAAGAAATATCAATAGGTAATTCTCAACTAGTTTCAGGTATGAATACCTCCTTTTTCATCCCCTCTCCCATCCCGGACTGAGGCATGGTGGTAATGTCAAATACCAGCAAAGCCACCTTTGTTGGAGCAGAGTGTCATACTACTCAGCTCCTGTTAACCGTGCAAGCCAAAGCCCTAATGGGTAGGGTGGTTCTAGCTGGACAAGCAATGGGAAAACTTGGCAGAATGCAATATCAATGGCAAGCTCTGAGGTTTTAGCTGGTTAGACTCCAGCAGTATCCAATGCACACTCTGGGGTCCCCAAACCTTGGCTCTTGCCAACCTGTACTACCGGAATTAGGTAAGCAAGATGTGTCCCTCCAGGGTGAGAGTGCGCATTCCATTCCAACAATCTATCTCTGGAATTTCCATATGTAGGTGGGATGCATGGAAATCTCAGCTTGGTTTGGATACTTAACAACAACAACAACAAGATTCTATTTATAGAGCGCCTTTCACGTCGGGAGGACGTCCCAAGGCGCTGATGTCCCACTTAAGCACGGTGATGGGTTTTCACATGTGTCAGACCAAAAAAAAAGAGCAATTGAGTTTACTGGTAAGGTATGAATGAGTAAAGTTTTTTTTACTAAAACATTGGAAAATCTCAACCCCCATGATTTGTCTATTCCTACAGCTCCTCCTCCTTTCATTATCTCTTAACTGGTTATAGCTGTCTCTGTGGTAGATCTTGCTTTCCTGATACATCTTCTCTTTCCTCTTATGTTTTAGAACATAATCATGCCAAGCCATGTGTGTGCTTTGAAGATGGATTGAAACAATGACTATATAGCTATGGCTTCTGCCTTAGAGTATCATTTTTTGCTGACCAGGATGTGTGTCTTGAGATAATATTCTCAGTTTTATTCATTGCATATTGTTCTGAAGTTATTTTATTGCTGTTACTCTAAGAGTTTTATTATTGACATTTGATTGCACTCTTTGGTATCTCGATGTATCTGAAACTTTTGTAAGTAAAATAGCTTGAATCTTCTTCCCTTGTATGACTCTTATCTTGCTCTCATCTATATGTTCTCATTTACCTGTTACCTCTGTGTTGCCTTATCCGTGTCAGAGTGCAGCTTCTTGACAGTGCCATTTGTATAACACACCAGTGTAGTAATCTGATTGGTGCATTTCCTCTCATGTATCCAGGGCTGATATATCCATACCACAGAAGCAGAATACATAGCCTCAAATTAACATCTGTAATATATTGCAGTTTAGCATTTCACATTCACTCCTAAAACCAGCTAAATTCAACTATACTAGTGGATGAAATACTATAGTGGTCTCATTCTATGTTCCAGACAATAGATATGTGTAAGGGAAGAGGTGGACTATTTGAGCCTCAAAGCATCTTCCCAACATAGAATAGTTTGTTATTGATAGTTATAGATCATTTGTAAAATTGTTGTATGCAATTCAGCAGACTGTGTACGTTACTATAACTGAAACTACACAATGTGGATAGATTTGATGTTTGTAGATGGATAAACATGGACTAAATAAACTGTATTAAATTCTAGATTAGACAGACTTTTGTTATAAACCATTCGATATGGATTTGCATTTTGAATTCAAATATCATAATTCTGAACACAAGCCTACTGGATTTAGTACAGTGGGGTAAATTTATGCTGATCGCTATATATAATGATCTTTTCATTATATTATATGGTATCTATATAATGATAATTCAGAGTAAATTCGACCTAATGAGTTGTGAATTTTTATATTTAAAACAAAACATTGTGATCCAATGTGATATCTAATTGATTTCCTTAATAAAAGAAACAGGAAATATCTCATGCCAACCCATGGGATATGTGCTGCATTGTGTGAGGTATATCCAGGTACCACTTGTTTTCTTTATTACAGAATTCCATTAGAAACTGGCATCCATTAAATCCAATTGACTGAAGATCATTGTGGTATGTACCTCCAAAGAAAATTAGGTGCAAATATTAATTTAAATTGGGATTATATTGAAAGGTGGTTTGAAAACCAATTATATCACTGAAACATTTCCCCATGTACTGTTTATTCTTCATTACTGCATTTCTAGGAATCACAAAGGCAATTTCATGAATAGCGCGCAACGTTCTCTCGTGCTAAATTAGTAATTATGCACAGATAGAGACAATTCTAATTTGAGCTGTCTTACTTTAAACTGAAAGTTATTTGCACTGGGTATAATTCAATAAGAATGCTTTAGTTCCTAAAGTGATATTAGAAATCTAAAGCAAACAGAATTGTCACTACTACCATTGCCCACATTGTCTGTGTATTTAATTTGCTTGGTGTTTTGTTTTCAGTCATAATCAAATTTAAACTATACAATCTGTATCAGTACTGAAGGCTAGAACTTCTTAGAGTTTGAACATGGAAATGTTGTTTGAATGTTTCTATTAAACTCTACTTTAATTCCCTCCCATAGCCTCTTATAAATTTATAACACAAACTGTTTTATTCTGTACTTTAATTATCTCTTTTAATTTTCCCCATTTTCTGCAGTGATTTTTCTGATTTTCTGGTATGCACCTTTTGTGTTAATTGAATGATTAAAACTGTTAAAACTTGTTTTCCATTATTCCCCTTTTTTCTTGTCTCCCATTGTTTGTATCTATCATTATTTTAATGAGCTCTCTTCTATAAGACAGTGTATGTGGGACACTGATGTGCGCAGTTGGCTGCCGCTTTTGCAATAGCCTACGGAGCTCCTCAATAAACAAATAAACTGGGACTGAGATAACGTTTCGATACTTCTGGTTAAAAGATAATTTTGGCTTTACCATTTAATTTACTTTTGCCTAAAAATACACAGCCCTCTACCTTACAGTAAATCCTGCTAAGTATTCTGAGACATCCTCTTGAAAGGCGTTATATCAAATCCAAGGATTATTATAATATTATTTTTAAGTCTACTGTTTTTCTTAAAATCTGTGTAAAAGTTAAACTGGAATTTCTTTTCAACCATAAACTCAGCAATTATATCCCTAGTGTGCAATTATTTTGGATTGTTTCCGCTCTTGGGATTGTATCAATTGCGAGGTTTTCACTGAAGATAGTCTGATGAATAATTCCACTGAACTAAATGCACCAATTTAATGACTTGTTTGGAAAAGGGTGTAAAGTTTCGAATTAATCAAAGAAATTAATGTTAATCTGCTATTTTCAGGTGTTCTGAACCCTTGTCCCATTCGCACTAGAGGTTATCATCATCGACAGATTTTAAACAAGCCCACAAAAAACACACAATCGCTACACTTTACAGTATACCCCGTGAAACGCTTTGAGACATCCTCCCAATGTGAAAGCTGCTATATCAAATGTAAGGATTATTATGATTAATATGTATGTGTTTTTGAATATACACCATTTTACAGTATAAAACAAATGTTTTATCTTTAGTGCTGAACTGTTAAAGTTAATAACATTTGATGTAGACTAATTTGGATTTATACAGCATCCGTCACGTAAGATAATAGCTTGAAGCTGCGCAAGGATGGTGTTGGACGCTGAGTGGGGGAGGAGGAGGAGGAGTTGACCACAAGCGAAGTCAAAGAGGTAGGTTTTTAGATGGGATTTAAAGACATATAGTGAGGGGCAAGAATGAGGGAGGGAATTCCAAAGGGTGGGGTTGTTGTGGATGAAATCTCAGCCACCAATAGTGGGGAGGGCAGGGGACATACAGCAGGCACAAGTTTGCCAAGCAGAAAGAGTGCGCAGAAGATCACAGAGATAGGCAGGTGATTGGGCATGAAGGGACTTATACATGAGGATGCGTACCTTGAAATCCATCTGTTGGAAAACAGCAAGATACAGCACCTCATCAGGTTAAGATGACTCAAGTTGCCCCAGTAACTTCTGTTGAAAGTTAGTGATTTGTTCATGGAAGCAAACAAGGCAGCTGATGTGCAGCAGCTATGTCCCACATATAGAAATGAGATGAATAGCCAATTCATCTGTTTATTTTGGATGAGGGAGGAATATTGGCCAGGATATTTGTTGTGATATATTGTGAAGCAATATGAATATTTTTTCCACTAACATTTATTCATTCAGGAATAATAATCCTTCAAAAAAAAACAATAATAATGTGGTCACTCAATCCACAATTGTTTCTGGGACACTGCTGTGTGCAATTGGCTGCTGCGTTTTGCCCACAAATATACGGTCAATTCACTTTACAGCATATTCTGTGAAGCTCTTTGAGACATCTTGAAGGCGTGAAAAGTGCTATATCAAATGCAAAGATTATTATTATTATTACTGATGCACCATTCCAATGGGACATTTAGAAGGAAATCGCAATTGCAGTATCTTTGTAAAGAAATTAAATAATACTAATGATACTAATGTTCATCGCAGTGTATCCCAGATGCTTGATTAACCTTTATTAATCTTCCTATTGCATGTGCTACGGGTCTGAAGGAGCAGCAGCTCTGCCTGTAGCTGATGCATTGCTGTAGCTGTGGTACTTGAATTGCCAGTCAATGTGACCTTGTGGAAGATTATGCCACAGATATGATGTATTGATATACCTCTGGGGATGTGCTGTGCTCCCCTCTTTAGATCATGATGTGTGCTATCTTTTCTGCCACGCTAGTAGATTGTGCTACGAGTATGGATTGGCGCTGAAACAGTGGAGTGGAAGAGAATCATCTGTAGAGATACGAATAATTACTTATTTTAATCGACTTCAGACTGTCATGAGCTGAAGATACTTTTAATAAAGTTTTCACCAGAAAATAGAAAAACAGTAATTTATTCCTTCAAGCACAGCAAATGGCTCTGGACAAAATACGTTGCAGATGAATGTGCAGGATATTCTTAGTGAGTATAAATTACAGAATATTCTTTGTAAGTATACTGTAAATTAATATTTGTCTTCTTATCACGTTGCTTACAGTGTCCCCAGGGAAGCTTGTTTGCTACCAGACTTTGTCATCTGGTGGATGTTATCAGGAGCAATTGTGTACTCTACTGATGACATCTTCCTCTGCAGATTGATTAACTTTTTATCTCAACAACAAACAGCAGCTGAATTACTGGAGGCTGATACAGACAGAGTCGGGCAGTGGGCAAACAAAATGCCGTTTATCTTCGGGACTGAAAAGACCAATAAATGTCTTGAGAAGGACCTACATTATTGTGGCCCATTTACCTCTACCTTGTCAGGTAACCAAGACCACTCAAATCTTCAGGTCATGGACTTCACAAATCACAGCTGGACTATACTTGGCTGAAATCATAACAACAACTTGCATCCTTCAACAACAACAACAGCTTGCAGTTATCTAACTCCCCTCATGCAGGATAGCGTCCCAGAGCGCTTAACAGTGGTGGAGCACGACACCGAGCCGGGGGGAAGGGGAGGTGACCGTAGCCACGGTCGAAGAGAAAGGTCTTCAAGCGAGACCTGAAAATGGGGAATGAAGAGGCAAGGCAGAGAGATAGAGGAAGAGTGTTTCAGAGTTTTGGGGCATAGTGGCTGAAAGCACGGCCGCCAATGGTGGAATGGAGAACATGAGGGGCATGCAGAAGGCCTAAGCCAGTTGATCAGACGCAGCAGTTTGTGGTTTGGGGTGTAAGAAGGTCGGAGAGATAGTGAGATGCCAAAGCATGAAGGTATTCACATAAGACAACGCCTTGGGGTGCTGTAAAAGGTGGCTGTAAAATTTGGTAGGTAGCGAATCCTAAACAAAAAATTGTCATCTCAGTTGCAGATATTCTGGTAAGCTTATTTGAATCTGTGATAGACCATTTTAGCACATCAGTAAACCATGTTTCTGTCAACAATAGTGGACACATCAAACTGCCAGTATTTAGACTATTACTTGGTAAATGTTAGTATAAAAAAATGCAACTTTTTTAGCTAGCAGATTAACAC